TGAAGCCTCCAAAAAAAACCCAAGAAGGGTAGAGAGCGTCCTCCAGGACTGTGAACACAGGAGGTGTAGGGAGCACGAGACTCACACAGGGCACGGAGCCCCAGCAGCCACCCTTATACCTTCTTTCTGCACATCTGCATCCTTGCTGTATGTCCTCATCTGGCTGTTCCAGGCACATCCTTTATAATGAACTGGTAAATACAAGTTAAGCGTCTCCCTGAGCGTGGGGAGCCACTCTGCAAATCCCCAAATCTGCTCAGAAATCAGAAGAGAGGCGTGGGCATGTGACTGGCATCTGAGAGGGGCAGTCCTGTGGGCCTGAGGCCAACTCCACGAAGACAGCTTCACAACGGCATGAGCTGCACTGCAGGGCACCCAATCAGTGTCCACCGACAGTGGGAGAATTAGTTGGTACGGGGGAAAAAACCCACATGGAGCCCTATTCACATCCCAAATAACATTACTGTAAGGGCACTAGGGTCCAGCCACACTGACACATAAAATTAGCTGCCACAGTCCACTTCACACGAAATACCCAGAACAACTGGGAATGCTAAAAAGATTCTACCATTAGCGGTTCGACCACTAATTAAGACAGAACCACAGGAGTGGGGTCACAGGTCACAGGGCAGCAGGCTGCACAACCCAGCTTCAGGTCACCTTCCCCTAACCCTTGGGTCCAGTCAAACCAAAAGATTAATCCTACTCATTGTGATCACTGTATTAGGGATATCTGGGACGGCAGCCGGGCTCTGTGGTAGAGCCGCTTTTCCTTAATCTACCACTGCAGTCTCACAAAGAGCTTACAGGAATAAGCCACAGAAAACTGATTGTTCCATCTACTGCAGAGCGCAGATCAGCCATACCCCACAACATATACCTTCTGCTTCATGAAGACCCCAGAATAAATCACACTCCTGCCCAGTGCAGCCATCACGGCAGGGACCCTATGACTCCTGTAACTGGGCACCATCTACTTGGGCTGCCAGGAATCTGGTCTGCCATTTGTGTCCTGACCTTGCACCTGAATTTTTTTTTTTTAATTAAATGACAGCTGTGTACATTAATGCAATCATAGGGTACAGTGTGGTGTTTTCATATACAATTTGAAATATTTTCATCAAACTGGTTAACATAGCCTTTATGTCATTTTCTTAGTTATTGTGTTAAAAGTCAAGTCCTTGAACCTCCCCAATTTTTCCCCTTTATTTATTTATTTATTTGCAGTTTTTGGCTGGGGCTGGGTTTGAACCCTCCTCCTCCGGCATATGGGGCCGGCACCCTGCTCCTTTGAGCCACAGGTGCTGCCTTTGCACCTGAATTTAATGCAGTCTCCTGCCCTCACAGTCTCACCTCAACTTTCTCAGAGGCTTTCTACGAATTTGAAACGTTTGGGGTTACATCTTAGGATGTTAACATAAAATGGAAACATTTTATAACAAACACAAAACCCTAACATTTTAGAATAGCAAAGGACCTCAGAAATAGATTACTTGCTCAACTCTTTTTTTTTTTTTTTTTTTTTGAGACAGAGTCTCACTATGTAGCCCTTGGTAGATTGCTATGGCATCACAGCTCACAGCAACTTCAAACTCTTGGGTTTAAGCGATTCTCTTGCCTCAGTCTCCCAATTAGCTGGGACTACAGGCGCCCGCCACAATGGCCGACTATCAACTCCCTTCATTTTAAGGATGAAAAAATGGCAGGGCACAGCGGCTCACACCTGTGATAGTTGCACTTTGGGAGGTTGAGGCATGAGAACTGCTTGAACATAGGAGTTTGAGACCAGCCTGAGCAAGAACCAGACCCGTTTCCACCAAAAATAGAAAAACTTACTGGGCATTGTGGCCAGTAGCTATAATTCCAGCTACTTGGGAGGCTGGAGCAAGAGGATCCCTTGAGCCCAGGAATTTGATGTTGCTGTGATGCTACGGCACTCTATCCAGGGCCAAAGAGTGAGTCTCGGTCTCAAAAATAAAGATGATTCTTAGCAAAGTATCTCAAGAATGGAAGAAAAAGTATCCAATGTACTAGGTCTTACTATGAAACCAATTTATAGCTTTCTTATGAAAGTTATAACCCAATTATAGCCCAAGAAGAAGGGGAAAGGGGAGGGGGGGGAAGGCTGGGTGGAGGGAGGGTAATTAGTGGGACCACACCTACGGTGCATCTTACAAAGGTATATGTGAAAGTTACTAAGTATAGAATATAAATGTCTTAACACAATAACTAAGAAAATACCACAAAGGCCGTATTAACCAGTTTGATGAAAACATTTCAAATTGTATATAAAACCAGCACATTGTACCCTATGATTGCATTAATGTACACATCTATGATTTAATAAAAATAAATAAATAAAGATGAAAAAACTGAGGTCACAAAAGGTTAAGATCCGATCCAACCCATGGCTACACAGACTGAATAGTGAACCCAGGCCTAAAGGGAATCTGAGCTCATGTGTGACCGTCCCTCTGTCTCTCCATCTCTCCCCATCCAGCAGAGTCCTGGGCTCTGCAGTTTCAGGCCCCACTTTCCTCTCCACCTTCCCATTGCTTGTTCATTTCTTTAACCCACAAAATGCCTTTATAACCAAGCACTGCCTCTTGCCAAGCATAAACCTCTCAATTTTTTGACTTTCCAGGGTTTTTTTAGTTGCCTATTTGCCAGGCAGATTGCCTAAAAAATCTTCCTCTGAGCACTCCAAGTTTCTGCCGTTTAACAAAAACAAAGGGCTATGAGTCATGAAAAAAATACGGTCAGCAAGAGACTATTTTATGTAATAAAAATAAGTGTTTCTATCAGTACAGAAAACTGATGTAGAACATGAAAACTTTCAGCATTCGCAATGTTATTACTAGGTGGTGAAGTAACAGTTAATTTTTTCCTTCTGCTTCTTTGTTTTCCAAGTTTTCTTCCCCTACTCACAAGGTCTTGTATTCATTTTAAAAATACAGGAATAAAGAAATGCATTCTATTTTATTTATAGCTATAAAGTGTCCCACTACCACAGTCTACAAGGTGCTGAACAACTCCCGGATGCCATTTCTGGGGCTGAGGTTTACAGAGAGGCCACCTCCCTCAGAGGCTCTGGCAGGGCTAGTTTCTGGTTCAATACCAGCAAACATGTTAACTTTTCCAGAAAAGGGATTGTGAGCTTATTTTCATCACAAATTAGCCAAAGAAGCACTTAAATTCCAATTTTCTACTTTTACAAGACTTTCCTATCCAGAATAGGCAAACAGCCTTCTATTCTAGGGAGTGTGGTTTCTTTAACAGAAAGGTTTCCACCTGGAGCAGACTGTACAACAGTCCTTTCTCAGAGGATGAGAAAACCTGTTTTGTTCCAGTAACGAATTCTGTTTATGAAGGTCATTTCCGTAATCCCTGAGCACATCACTGGTCTCTTCAGGATCTCAATAAACTCTCTAACAGGAGCCCTAAGGTGTGGAGCTGTGCCCTAGTTTAGCTCCAGGGACATGCCCTTGAACATGCACAGCCACTTACTTGTCATCAGAGGCTTGGGCCATGAAGATGATGTGCACCAGAGCACTTCTAATCGCAGGGGATTCTGGGGAGCCACTGCCTCTGGCCAGTTTCCCTGGCAAAGTCATCTCCAGCCCTTGTTCTAACCTTTTTGCCCATTTAGTGTCATTTCTGTGTTGTTTTCATACTACATGTGAACAGGCCCACTTGGCATTCTAACAAATCTGTCCTTCTTACCATCTCTATTTCGGGAAGAATAAGACAAAAAAAAAAAAGAGTACCCAGGATAAATTTGGAAAAGCAATCAATCTCACTGTAGCAATGACTGTATTAAGCACACCTTAATGCTCTACTAAAATAGACTAAAATGTCATTAACAAAGCAGCTGCCTAAGTGTATACTGCAAATGAAATCTTTGCAAACTGGCTTGAGGCCTGCAAGTGTATCCTTTCCTCACCAGTTTCCCACTACCTTCCTTAGTATGGGAGGGAGACAGAATTCTCTCTTCTGTAGAGCAAAATAAAACCGGCAACAGGGGGCTGCCCAGACCAGTCCACCAGGCATAGTCATTGACTTTGTGAGGCTGTCCTTGGGGAGAAAGTTACAAACGCTTGTGAATGAAACGGAAAAGCTACAAGATGGTATCTGCAACATACACTCTTTTTGTTTTTTAATGTGCATGTAGACTTAGGAATACAAAAGTATGAGAAAAGACATACACCTATATTTTAACCTGGCTAAGAGTAATGGGTTATTAAAAGTGGCTTTAACGTATTTTAAACCAATTTTTGCAAAATATAAAAAAAAGTAACATTTATTAAAACAATCTCCATGATCTTTAACGAAGTAAATTTCTCCAAGAAATGGAACCTCAAAAACAGAGCCTTCTGAAGAGATAGAGAATCTTTGAGTTTAGGACCACTTGGGCTTTAAGCAGGCATCTTTAATGATTTTCTTCTACTCAACCCAGACCCCCGAAAGCCACCAAATCCTCCTTTCCAACCCACAAAACTGCGCGGGCCTGGTTCCAGGCCCCTGTTCTCCCACACGCCCTTGCAGGAAAACAAAAGGCTGGAGCAGGGAGCGAGGGGAACGCTGACCCTGCGGCCTGCGGAAATGCACCGCGGGGAAGAGGCCGGGAATCCGCGGCAGGCGCTGCGGGGACAGCGGAGCCCGCGCAGAAAGTCCCGGGGGCTGCCCTGCGCAGACGGGGCCCAGGCCCGGCCCTGGCCCCGGGTTCCAGACAACAGCCTGAAGCTGCCCGGCCCCCGCCGAGGCTCAGAGCAGGCAGACCCCGGGGAGAACTGCAGCGCGGGTCCCCACAGCGGGAGGGGCGGGGGACCGGGTCTCCCCGCAGCGCCGGCCGCGCGTGCGTCTCCCGGGAGGGGCGTGTCGCTCCGCAGTCACTGCCCAGAGGCCGGTGCTCCGGCCCGAGCCGCCCCCGGGGCTGCCCTGCGGGGCAGAGGCGGGAGCTGAGCCCCCTACCGGCCCCCAGCCGCGTCCCGCCGCCTCACCTTCGGGTCGCGCTCGTAGTAGTGCTGCTGCGTGCGGATCCAGCGGCCCACCAGGTGGTCGCGCACCGTGTGCGCCAACGCGAAGAAGTAGTCGCGGGGCGTGGCCACGTTGCGGTCCTTGACCAGCGTGAAGTGCAGGTGCCGGTTGAAGCTCTTCCGCACCTCCGCCACGTCGCCCAGCCCCGCGATCCCCCGCACGCTGATCTGTTTCCGCTTCTCACTGTCCGTCAGCGGCTTCGCCATCGCGCCGGCCCAGGTGGAGGAAGAGGAGGTAGCGGAGGACAGCCAGCACGCGCAGACGCCAAGGATGCTCCGGCGGCTGTAGAGCTGGGGACTGCAAAGCCGGCGGGCTGCCTCTGCCGCGCCTGCGCACTGCGCGGGGACGGGGTCTGCGGGAGGCGGGGCCTGATGGAGGGCGGGGCCTGCGGGCGGGGGTGGGGCGTCCCTTTCCCGCAGGGAGATGCTGGTGCCAGAGGAAGCCCACGCCACCCGGGAGCTGGAGTTTGCCCCTGGTTGACAAACCACCAACGCCCGGTAGGCACAGTCGGGGTTGGGGGTGGTTTTGAAAATACCAGTTAAAAGAGTGAAAGTTTCCGCCGAGAAAGTGCCAATCGCCTGCCAATCAATCCTCAGACTCAGCGACAGGCTCTCGGGGAAAACCCGCTGTAAGTCAACTAGAGACACTGCTTCTCCCAAGGCTGTGACACAGCCGCAGTCGAGTGTCATCACGACCCCCACTCTTGGAGAAGCCTTGCTCCCCAAGTAACACACGGGCAGACACCTTGCCCTCTGAAATTACAGCAGGAATTAGCATCTCCAGCCCAGCCCAGGGTGGAGCTCCAGGTCTGGACACGGCCTCCCACACTGCTCAACACTGTGGTCCCCAGGAAGCTGGACGGGTCCCCTCTGCAGACCAGACTTGCAGCGTCTGGGCCTGTGAGATCCTGCTTCATGGCAGGTCCACCTGAACTGCACCTTCCCGAACCCCGCAAGAAGGTGCCTTCCCTTTGTTCTCCGGAATCTCTCCCTCAATGCAGTGGGTCAGTAAGTCCGATTTCATGGGGCTGCAGTTTGCTCCTGGTGGTCTGGGGCTGAAGGGCCTACAAAGCTTGCCAAATTTCATGGAAGTCCAAGTTGCCCACAGGTGATGTCATAAAAGTTCAGGTGCAGTAGCTTTCCTGGTGTGTGTTTTCAAAATTGTTTTCTTACCTGGAGGCCCTTCCAGCTGCAGACTTCTCTGGGGACAATAAATCTCAAATGCCTCTACAGCCCACCCAGCTCCAGCTGGGGGCCTGGCTACTGCACTACATCCTGGGGATTCTGGAGCCAGCGAGTGAACTGCAGGCCCGGCTGGCAGGGCTGTAGGGGCCAAGCATGGCCAGAAGCTTTGCAGACCCACAGTCAGAGTGGAGTGGCAGTTGAGGAGAAGTCACAGAAGTGACTGTGCCCTGTTAGCACTTGTACCACTCTGGGGAATACATTTCAAGGAAAGCTTCAAAAGACAAAACAGAACTGTACGAAGATGTTTTCTGCTGTGATGGAGGTTGTAATGAAAACCTGGTCAAGGCTCATCCACCCACCTGTGCTGCTCACTGGTGGGATGTCTCAAGGTGTGGGCTCATAGCTTATAGGTGGGATTTAAAGATTGTCCAGTTAACAATTGACTGAAAGACTTAGGCTCTGTCTTATAAACCAGGGGTCTGGGAAAAGGAATGCTGAGTATAGTAAGGGTCTGTTAATCAGCGACAACTACAGGATATATGCCCAGACCCAGATGGTTTTTCATGGATATTAAGGACCTGCAGGTAGGTCTCACACAGCCTTGGGCCTGTTAAAAGAGTCACATAGGACATCTCTAAGAAGGGAGGGGGCATGATGAGGTTATGTCTGATCTCCTTTCTCGTGGCTAGCAATTCACTTTTAGGGGGTCCCCTTGGCCAGGTCAGTCAGTTACTGAGGGAGAGCCTTAAGATTTTATTTTGGTTTGCATGAGGGTTACCAGAAAATGCCACCTGAAATTACACCTCTTTAGTACTGGATTAATTCAAGCTAAAAGCCACTGGGATCTGACAAGATTCCTTGCTTAACTTCAGTCAGGCTTTAAAGGTAATGTTTTATCTCCATATAAGGAAAAGCTCCCCCAGATAAGGAAGAGGAGAACTGCTAACAGCCCTCACCAAGGGAGAGGGCAGTGACTTACATCTGCAAACAAACCTTCCCAAACAACCCCGGTTTACTTGTCCTGGTCACCTTCTGTTAGGGTTTAACTATCCCCTCCAAAACTCAGATTAAAGTTTAATTACCATTGTGATCACATTAAGAAGTAGGATCATTAAGAGGTGATTAGGCCATTAGGGATAAACTAATGCTCTTGGTTAGAAGGGAATGGGTTGTTATAAAAATGAGTTTGGTCCTTTCTTGCTCCTCCTCTCCCTCTTTCATGCTCTCCTGCCCTTCTGACTTTTTTCCAGGGGATAGTGTAGCCCCAAGGCCCCCAACCAGATGCAGGTGCCACACTCTTGGGCTTCAAAGCAGCCCTCAGAGAAGCTGAACTGAAGCAGGACAGCTGACCCAGTCTGCTCAGCTCACATTCTTCACACACACCCTTCTCCTGTGATTATCTAGTTAAGGTTTCTTGGTGATTGTGAGGATATTTGTCTCAGCAGACTGGAGGAGGTAGTCACACACAGACAATAGGTATTGTGATATCAGTAAAGGTTACTTTGATGATATGATTTTTTTTAATGATTCTCTTAGATATTTTGTTAAAGTGAAAATTATCTCTCTGTTGTTTAAATAGTTTGCATTGTCAGAATGAAGACTACCTTGATGTTATTTCCTATCAGATAAAGTTAAAATTTTCTAGGTTTGTTTCCTTGTATTTCATTATAAAAACTATTAGAATTGTCACTGAGGCAGAACAGAATTGAGAAGCTACTCTCGCTGTTCTCCAGAATTGCTGGCCTTCTGACAAGTAAAGCTTGTTTGGACCTAAAACCCTGTCTCTGCATATTGGCTGAACAGTGACAGGTGGCTGGACCCTCTTTGTCCAGTGACATTCCCAGCCAAGAAGTCTGAGCCAAATAAACTTCTATTCAATTACCTAGTCTGTAGAATTCTGCTATAACACCACAAAATGGACTATACACCTTCCCACAACTTACCTCCCCTGTCCAGAGCCCTCAACTCTCTGTTTTTGTGAGTTGGCCTAAGATGATGTACACACCCAAGCTCCCAGCCCTGACCAGCCCCTTGGGTTACCTATCTCTGCTCCCCCGCACTGTGTAAGTGCAGTACATAGGCTAATGAATGACTGTTCTGTTTGTTTTTCTTTTGTTGATCTGCCTTTGGCCAGTCTAATCAGTCTAATTTACAGGGCCTATGGATGGAAAACCTAACCTGGTAGGGCACAGAATTTTGTTCCTCCCTACACAACCAACAAGTAGATTCAGACAGAGGTGGGGAGTTGAGTCAAAGGGCCATGGTGAGGAATCTCACTCTCATCTTCCATTTTAACAACAAAACTATAAGGCTTCAAAACAGGCAAAACAGGGCTCAGCGCCCATAGCTCAAAGAGTAGGGCACCAGGCACATACACCGAGGCTGGTGGGTTCAAGCCCAGCCCGGGCCTGCTAAACAACAATGACAACTGCAACCAAAAAATAACCAAGTGGTGTGGTAGGCGCCTGTAGTCCCAGCTCCTCAGGGAATCGCTTAAACCCAAGAGTTTGAGGTTACTGTGACGCCATGGCACTCTACCAAGGGTGACATAGTGAGACTCTGTCTCAAACAAAGAAAAAAAAAAACAGGCAAAATGGGAAGAAATTGGGCTTTTATTTTACTTAAAGCTGAAAAGCAGATTTGCCCCTCTAAGAGAAAGGACTGCGCTGGCTGCCAGAGCTGCTGCTTGCCTCTGCGTCAGGAATCCCTGTTCTAGATGGGTTCTCTATGATCTCTTTCTTCTCTTTTGGGGAGACCATTTTTAAAAATTCATTTCCTAAGAGCCTGAGTGCTGTGGCTCTCTCCTGGAATCCTAGGCCAAGGTGGGTGGATCCCTTGAGTCAGGAGTTGGAGATCAGCCTGAATAAGAGCAAGACCCCATCTCTACTAAAAATAGAAAAGTTAGTCAGACCTTATGGCAGGCACCTATAGTCCTAGCTACTCAGGAGGCTGAGGCAAGAGGATTACTTGAGCCCAAGAGTTTAAAGTTGCTGTGAGCTAGGCTGTTGCCACGGCACCCTACCCAGAGTGATAGAGTAAGACTATGCCTGAGGAAAAAAAATATATCATTTATTAAGAGGTGAGGGATGTTGCTGCAGAATGAGTTACTGTGCTGGTGAGTCATTCTCTGTTGTTTGAGAGAATACGTTAGCTTTAAGTTTTTTTTAAACAGGTGTTTAGGCTTCTATCTGTTGCTAGTTCCCTGCTGCAGAAACAGATGAAAGATGCCTTGAGGATGGGATGGAGTGCTATGGGAGGCAGAAGAAATCCAGTGTGGGAAACAGACATTTTTGGTCTGGTAGGCTTTAAGCTTCTTGAGGACTTGAAGAGCATGTCATCGATCCTAAGGGCTCAATAAATATTGGCTGGCTGAGTGACTGAGAAGCACTGCCAGCACTTGGCGAGACCACAGATGCAGAGGAAAGGCTCTCTGGGATCCCGGCAACACTGCTGGTTGATTTGTGCTGGTCAATTAGATGTTTGTAAGTGAACACAGGCCCAGCCTTTCAGGAAATGGGAGGGAAATAGCAAATGCATTATTTTTGAGAGGTTGCTAATTATAAAGCCTGGTAAAATAAAGACCACCAGCTGGAATGACCTTGTGGAATTGGGGTATCTGAACAGATACTTCCTCCACTGGAGTATCTGAACAGTTATTCTCAACCTTCTAGGGCCCCACTACAGGGTCCTAGGGAAGTGGGAGCATCTATGAGTGTTCGGACCACCCTGGACAGGGCCCAGGTGGGGCCCCCATACTCTGTAGCCATGAGGCCTCCCACAGTCTTCCTCCCCACCTTACCCAACAGCGCTCCAGATCCTCCTTTAGGCCAGTAGCTTCCTGCTACTCCCAAGACAGGGGCCACTGACATTAGCAGGGTGAGCTCAGCATCTTCCCCAAGCTACCAGGAATCTGTCCCAGCGGCCAGCCTTCCTAAGAGGAAGCCTGCGGCCTCCCGTCAGGATGCATCTTGCACTTGGCTCTGTGTGGGGTATACTTCCCTCTGCCCACCTTGGCTGGAGCCTGTAGTCCCTATAGCTCTCCAGAAGGACCCTCCTTACAGCTATTACAGGCAGCAGATGCCACACTCCCAGTGTAGGTGTGAGCCCATCACTCTTCTGCAGACTGCTGCTTCCCAACAGGGACGAGCAT